AAATTATTAAAATTAAATAAAGAATATAAATATTATTTAGTTAAATTTGAAAAAAATTAAAGATATGTTTATAATGAATATTTAATTAAAAAATTAAAAGGAAAAAAATATTTTGCTAATTCGTTAAAAAATAATATTTTATTTTAGTAATGATCAATTTCAAATTCTCTATTTAATTATATATGTAAAAAATTCAATCAAAAGGAAATTATCAAAATTAAATAAACAATATAAATATTATTTAATTAAATTTGAAAAAATTAAAGATTTGTTTACAATGAATATTTAATTAAAGAATTTTAAATTAAAAGGAAAAAAATTGCTAATTCATTAAAAAAGAACATTTCATTTTAGTAATTATCAAGTTCAAATTATTTATTTAATTACATATATAAAAAATTCAAACAAAAGGAAATTATTAAAATTAATTAAAGAATATAAATATTATTGAATTAAATTTAAAAAATAAAAGATTTGCTTACAATGGATATTTAATTAAAGAAATTTAAATTAAAAAAATTAAAAGGAAAAAAAATATTTCATTTTAGTAACTATCAATTTCAAATTCTTTATTCAATTATATATGTAAAAAATTCAAACAAAAGGAAATTATTAAAATTAAATAAAAGAATATAAACATTATTTAATCAAATTTGAAAAAAAATTAAAGATTTGTTTACAATGAATATTTAATTAAAGAATTTTAAATTAAAAAATTAAAAGGACAAAAAAAAAAGAGTTTGCTAATTCGTTAAAAAAGAATATTTGAATTTAGTAACTATCAATTTCAAATTATTTATTTAATTGCATATATAAAAAATTCAAACAAAAGGAAATTATTAAAATTACATAAATAATATAAATATTGTTGAATTAATTTTTAAAAAATTAAAGATTTGTTTACAAATGATATTTAATTAAATAATTTTAAATTAAAAAATTAAAAGGAAAAAAAGAATTTGCTAATTCGTTAAAAAAGAATATTTCATTTTAGTAATCATCATTTTCAAATTTTTTATTTAATTTCATATATAAAAAATTCAAATAAAAGGAAATTATTAAAATTAAATAAAGAATATAAATATTTTCGAATTAAATTTTAAAAAAATTAAAGATTTGGTTACAAAGGATATTTAATTAAAGAATTTTAAATTAAAAAATTAAAAGAAAAAATAAAGAATTTGCTAATTCCTTAAAAAATATTTCATTTTAGTCATTATCAATTTCAAATTCTTTATTTAATTATATATGTAATAAATTCAAACAAAAGGAAATCATTAAAATTACATAAGAAATATAAATATTATTTAATGAAATTTCAAAAAATTAAAGATTTGTTTACAATGGATATTTAATTAAAGAATTTTAAATTAAAAAATAAAAAGAAAGAAAGAGAATTTGCTAATTCTTTAAAAAAAATATTTCATTTTAATTATTATCAATTTCAAATTCTTTATTTCATTATATATGTAAAAATTTCAAACAAAAGGAAATTATTAAAATTAAATAAAGAATATAAATATTATTTAATTAAATTTCAAAAAATCAAAGATCTATTTATAATGAATATTTAATTAAAGAATTTTAAATTAAAAAATTAAAAGGGAAAAAAAAGAATTTGCTAATTCGTTAAAAAATAATATTTCATTTTAATAATTACGAATTTCAAATTATTTATTTAATTATATATATAAAAAATTCAAACAAAAGGAAATTATTAAAATTAAATAAAGAATATAAATATTATTGAATTAAATAAAGAACATAAATATTATTTAATTAAATTAACCAAAAAAATTAACTATAAAACAAATTTAAATAAAGAAAAAAATATCATGGCTGACTGTTAACAATCGGCCGGTTGTCAACAGCCGGCAGACTGTTAACAGTTGACCAACTGTTGGCAGGCGGATGTTAACCGCCGGTCGACTGTTAACAGTCGTCAAAGGTATTTTTGGCTTTTTGTTTGTAAAAGTTATTTTTAACTTTTTTTTATATTGTATTTATGGGTCAAAGGCCACTGTGGAAATATGGTCCAATCAACGGGCCATTTCCCACAATTTCCTCTTAATTTTAGCCCTTCGAGTAAATTTATTTCTACTAGTGACATTTTGAAATAAAGATAATAATTTATTTATTTATTTTTTCAATAATTTTTTTTTTGTATTAAATTGAGCTTGGATTTTGTTCATGGATCGACTTGATATTATAAATCGAGTGTTTAAGTTGTTAAACATTGAAAGATTTCATTTATAATTCGATCTAAAGTTTATTGTCCACAATCGGTAAATAAAGATGAACATTTTATTTTGATAAGATTGTCTCAATTTTATTTAAAGTTGATCTTGACTTTAGTAATAAAATTGATTATACATTTTTGGAATGTATTAGACTGGACCACGTGAAATTAATATATGGAATTGCCCACTTGAATTTAATTTCACTTGACTATTGTACATAGTACCTTAATCCTGAACGAGTAATGAACTTTGATTACTAACTTGAAGTTTTTTGAGGTATCAACGAGTGAGATCAATTTGCTAATCAATATCTCGATGCCTTGGGAATTAAAGTGAAATAATTGGAGAACATATATTCGCGATATGGAATCCGTAAACCTATTTAATAGGCACGATCATGACCTCAAGAGATTTTCCAATGAACAGTTAAATCTGAGCTCAGTAATTCGACCTGATTGTTGAATTAATATTGTGATGTGATCACGTGGAATTGTCAAATACAAAATGGGGTTGAGGATATAATGTATATTTGGAAAAGGGGCATTTTGGTCATTTTACCCAGTTCCAAATAATCAACATGATTAACGAGGGTAATATGTAAGAGCAATTTGTCAGAGGATATAATTATTGTAGCTTTAGTAATTTCAATTAAGTTAGAGAGCAATCACATTCTTTTAGTGTAATATATAGTGATTAATAAATTATTTAGACCGATCAAGAGTTGACTGAGTCAAAATTAATTTATTGGAGCTTGATTTAATTGGGTCCGTTTGGTCCCTTAAGTGGCTTCAAAATAAGAACCGGAATAAATTATAAGAGTTATGATTTATTATTATTAACTGTAAAAATATAAATTAATTAAACTCGAATGTGTCATGCATGTGCCAAACATGTGCTATTGAGATATGAAGGTTATGATTTGGACAAGGACAAAAAGAGATTCCCTTCTGACAAGGACTTATCATCCAATAAAAGAGAGAGTCTAGTGGGATTGGAGGTCTAGTGAACCAAACCCATTATAGAGATACATACCTTTTGTGGGTTGAATTAAGATATATAAAAAAATTTATTTTTGTGCCCACACTCAAAAGGAAAAAAGGAAAATATCCCTACAGTTTTTTTTGGGTTCTTGAAGAACACTGGAGAAGGCCAAAATGTTTGAAGGAATAATATCAAACAAGGAGGCTTGAAGGTGGAATAAAGGAGATCAAAGATCAAGGATTTTTTTTTTTGTAAAGCACGCTACAAGAGTAATTCCTAAAACACCTATGTGTTATTTTTGTTTCAAATTATTTCATTCTTGTTGATACACAACTTAATAAATCCTTCATATTTTCCAACAAAAGTCACGCGTGAAGAAGTACTGGGTGATGGCAGAAACATGTAACCTTCAGTTTGTGATGTCACGATCTGATGCCAGCGGTGTTTTATTCATGATCTGCACCATTAGTAATACTTTTTATGGATCAGTATTGCTAACAAACTATAAGCCAGAAATTGCTTCCGAATAAAAATGGTCAGTGTATCTTGTTTATTGGACTCAATATGTAGGCATGTCTCTTTGTACTGTCATGTCTTTGGGAAGACTTTTAGTAGCTTTAATTCACACAGTACGAAATATAAGAAAATGTACCATCTCTATCATTTCCTCGAAAATAAAGAATTACAGGAACAAAAGAATGGTAGAGTGGAAAAAGAAACTCCCACCATTACATGTTCTAGGTCAGAAGCTTAGAAAAATTATTTATCACATCAGAAATCTACTTATCAACATTTGTATAGGAAGTCTGATAGTGATTGTGTTCGTGAACAAATTGCTTGTGCCATTCTCAATTATTGGAATTCTCTACTTATCGATCAAATTTCCATCGGTCAATGTCGTGCTAATTATAATCCCGTTGTCTTTCCCATTTTTTATTTGTACCTCGAGGATGAGAATCATTAGGCTCTTAGCGATGCCGAAGAAATTTTTATCCAATCCCAGTGAATCAGAACACATGCTTGGTTATGAGCAAGATCTCAGAAATTTTGTTTTACTTCTAGAAAGTGAGGCAATACAAGATGGATACCTGATGTTCATTAACACATCTATTAATTCATCCATAAAGATGGGTGCAAAGCATCAGCCTAGATATCTAATGGAGCTTATGGAGAATTCCACCAGCTTCGAGGGTGTATTAAAATTTGAAAGTGATCAAGTCTCTCCGATTATTTGCACAGAACCTCTTAATTGCTGGAGTCTATCCGTGGCAACACTAACAAGCATCATGATTGCCCTTCCCAACGTTCAAAATAAGAAGAGGAATCAGTTGCTAAAAAGCATCGTTGAAGGTTTTAAATATGTGTGCCTTATAGAGAAAAATCAGGATGTTCATAAAAATTTGGTAAGCAGCACGACTGCTGCAGATTTTGCATATGGGTTGTAGTTGAATTGAGACACAAGTGGTTAGACATGGACCTCCAAAACATTGCCAGGGTATCAAAATCCTCCGAAGAATCTCTCCAGAATCTTGCAAATAAAAGTGAAGAAATTTTGAAGGAATTCACTAGTAAAATGAATGGAAATGCGATGGAGAGCCCCATTAACTTGCCTGAAAATGTCATAATTGCTAATTCAATGTACAAAATAACCAAAACTTTGCTGTTGGTCTATGAGGAAAGCTATCATTCAGCATCAGATACTCAAGTGTTTGAGAGATTGTCAGTTATCGTTGCAGATAAATTTGCTTTATGCCCGACCAATTTACCTCATGTTATGCACAAGAAATGCAACAATAGCGCCATAGAAGGACGGGAGAAAAGTATACGAGCAGGGGCGGAGCTAGAAAGTTACGTTAGGCTGGGCTGAATTTTTTTTTTCAATGAACTTATACAATAAAAAATGCTCTAAACCACACGGTAAAGCAAAAACCGGATCCAAAACCGGGCAAAATCATGCCAAGCTAACTGATTATGACAAAATCACTCAAAACCAGCTGAACCGACCGGTTCAACCATAAACCGGTGAACTAGTCGCGATTTGGTGGTTTTCCCGATTTTTTAAAAAAATTTTTTAGTTTGAAAAAATTTTAAATTCATATTACCATAAATCGTAAACCTGTAAACTAATTCTTTTTTTAGTACCAATCAATTGCAATTTGAATGTGAATTTCCATATTACCGGTTTTGTTTGTCCATGAAGACTTTCAATTACAGATCCAAAAAGGAAAGTTTCATATACAATATTATTGGGATTGTAATGGGATTATGTAGTAATTTTGGTTATTAAAACAGTTTAGTAGTATAAAATAAATTAATATATATTAATCAGGGATATATGCTTTTTTTTCCCATAAAATTTTGCTTTTGGGCTGGGTGTAGGGTGGGCTATAGCCCACCCCACCCCACCCCACCCCAGCCCGTCCCTCCCTCCGCCCCTGTATACGAGAAGCAACTCACCTTTTGGGAGAAACTCAAGGCATTCTGAAAGCTCTTCAGAAGCGTGAAATTCCTAATCTATCACCCCGAACAGTCAATTTACATTGAGGAATGGCGTACTTTACTCAAAACACACTAACCATGGTATTTCGGACTCAACTCCAAGCAGTGAGAATATTATTACTGCTCCAAGTGGTGAGGTACATTTGGATATACAAGAACTCAGTGCAAGTGCTCCAGCAGGTTTACCCTTGTTATTTTGCCTCAGAATTTATTATTATTCATGTTCCCACTACGATGAAGTTTTTATTTGGGCTTTTATCGAATTCACATTTCACCAAGTAAAAATTAATAAAGCAAGTTCTTTTGCATCTCATTATGAATTTAAAATAAAATAAAATTGCATGAACACAATGTCAGTATTGCCTAATTTATATTTTTAATTGAATTTGGAGGAAATCCTTTAAACATAAATAATACTCTCTTCGTCACAAAAAGATAGACTTGTTTATATTTTCAAACAGATTAAAAAAATATATAATTATTATAGCTGGAAATATAATTTTTCTTACATTTTTGTTAATATACCTCTACATTAAATATTGATTTCAATAAGAGTATTCATATTTGTTGATAACAAGCTACATTAAATTGGGACATATTAGAAAACTAAGAAATCAATTATACTATCAACAAGGAAAGTAGCCTATAATTCAGGATGGACGAAAAAGGAAAGTAAACCTATTTTTATGGGATGGAGGGAGTATAAAAAAATGAAATATGCTTAATTTGGTGTTTTCAGGAGCCTTGGAAACTGATGAAGGCAATGCGAAGTCTCAAGTGAGCGGGGAAGCGGAATAGTCGAGAGACGAAAAAGAGAACAACCAAGCATAAAACCCTAACATTTCCACTTTTCGGAAGTTATTCTTTTATGAGCATCCTTTTTGTTTGTTTATTGGAGTTTACCACACAACTGTTGTGATTTGTGAGTCATTCAATAACATTGTGTTATCATGAAAACCTAGTGGCACCTAATGTTGGCTGTATTAGACATTATTATGCATGTCCCGGGGAGATTAATTTCAGACAATGTGCTTGTGGCATATGAGCTGGTCCATTTTCTTAGAACCAAGAGACAAGGGAAGGTAGGCTTCATGTCACTTAAACTTGACATAAGTAAAGCCTCCGATCGTGTTGAATGGCATTACCTTCAAACAGTGATGGAGAAAATGGGCTTTGGAGAGAAATGGATAAATTTAATAATGCTTTGTGTAAGATCAGCTTCTTTCTCTATTTTGATTAATGGAGATCCAAAGGGACCTATATATCCCTCTAGGGGGATTAGGCAAGGGAACCCCATATCCCCTTACCTATTTTTGTTATGCAGTGAAGGATTGGTTTCTCTATTAAATATAGCTGCTGATCAAGGAAAGGTGGAAGGTATTCTTGTATGCCGAGGAGCCCCAAAGGTCAACAATCTCATGTTTGCAGATGATAGTGTTCTGTTTTGCAAAGCTTCTCTCCAAACAAATACATATATATTCCAATTACTTGAAGAATATGAACATGCTTAAGATCAAAAAGTGAACAGAGAAAAGACATCCATGGTGTTCAGCAAATCTGTATCAACAACCACTCAAAGAGAAATCCTGGATTTTGGGATAACCCACACCACCAAAATTATGATCATTATTTGGGATTCCCCTCAATGGTGGGTGGGAACAGGAGGAAGGCTTTTTCAAGTCTAAAGACAAAGGTATGGCAGAAATTAAAGGGATGGAAAGAAAAGCTTTTGTCTCAGGGTGGAAAAGAAGTTCTAGTTAAAGTTGTTGCACTATCCATTCCCACTAACACAATGAATTGCTTCAAGCTTCCATTATCTTTATGTGAAGAGTTGGAAAGTATGATTGCAAAATTTTGTTGGGGACAATGGAAAGAAGAAAACAGAATTCGATGGGTAAGGTGGAAGAAGCTATGTAATACTAAAGGAAGAGGAGGTATGGGGTTTAAAGATCTTCATGCTTTTAATATGGCTCTCTTAGCAAAACAAGGCTTGAGAATTCTACAAGGGGAAGGATCATTGCTACAAAGGATATTCAAAGCTAAATACTTACCTCATGGACATTTTAAAGATGCAAAATTGGGAGCAAATCCATCCTATGTATGGAGAGGTATTTGGTAGGCAAAGAAGCTGTTATTTGAAGAATGTAGATGGCGAGTTGGTGATGGAAAGGAGATAAACATATGGACTGATTATTGGATGCCGAACCCTCATTTGATAAGCTGCGAGATGGTATTAAATTTTATAAATTTCAAGTTGCAAACACCATGCAATCATCTAGTATTTGTATAAAATCTATTATATACAAATAATATCTAGTCAACGTGAGATTGACGAGACCCAATTATCACCCTAATTAATTTTCAAAAATATAGAGAATCTAGCCCCTATTTTAGTTAACGACGATTAATGAAAAAATTTCATGAAACAAAAGAACTATCTATAGGATTCCATTCGATTGAAAAATCTTTTGATTCTTCGTTGAATATCAATTTGAATTTTTAATTTCACATCATTGTTGATCTAGTGATGGTCTAACTGATCGTTCCAAACAATAATACATTCAGTAATTCAACTTTTGGTTTAATACAATATTTGTCATTTTAACAACTATTCAATCAAACAAAAACCGTATATATTTTCTACTATAATCATATAATAATCAATGTTCACATGACATAAGTAGTATGTTTTCCTTCAGGGATAAATACTAATTTAAAATGATATATTATTCGAAACATGTGCTACTTTGAGAGCACTTTGTATTTCATAATTGCTTATTTAAGAGCAATATATAAATATTATTTATGATATTGAAAATTGTAATTTATACTCTTTAGAAATAAGTAATATTCTTTTAAAATATTAATTATAATATTGTGCTACTTCAAAAGTAACAACAAACTATTTGTAATAGATAGATCTACGTTTTATATTCTTTTGAAATATTATTACAATGTTGTGCTACTTCAGGAACAACAACAATTAAGAATGAATTTAATAATTGATGTTATATTACTAAACATAAAAACGATGATGAAACATTCAATTGTACACCACAATGTTAATATTAATTAAGTAAAATATTGGCTTGAATTCATTAAGGTGGATTGAGTGGAAAAGGAAGAAAAAAATTGATAATTATGGCATGCATAAACCAATTCACAGATTACGTGGTTATGTGAATTGCTTTTCATAGAATGGAGTCGAAAGGAGCCATCAATTAACTCATCAATTAGTTAATTACAGATTACATAATTATGCATTAGGTATCGTGCTGAATTAATATATTACAAACTTGAATTAATTCAAAGACATGCTTACGCAAACATGACATGATTAAGCAGAAACTGGTGAATTGTATGACTAATTTAAAGATGCGATTTTATGTACAGACACGAATTGTACAGACATGAATCATAAATATTCTACAGACATGAATTCAAAGAAAAATCCTAGTTCTTGCATATGTACATACATGAATTGACAAAACATGAATGTACTAAATTCTATATAGACATGCAAATACAATTGTACAGACGTTAATTGAAAAGAAATTAAATTTGACTACAATATGCACCGCTATGATGCATGTGTATATTTTTAAAAAAAAATTCACTTGTCTTGAAATTAATTTTGACACAAGTGACACGTGATTATGCTTATAAAAATTATTATCTTTTAACTAATTGACTTCGATTTTAAGAGAATCGTGTTGATAATGTATTATAAACAAAAGAGAGTAAAAGATAATAAATGAGAAAAATCAATAAATTTGTGTGCTTTATTAAGAGCTAAAATCCCATATTTATAGGGAAAATTAGAGCTACCAGAGATACAAACTATAACTGCAGGGATATAAAAGTCATTATAAATACTACTATATTTACAACATTAGTAAAATTGTATTTTCAATTAATCGAAGTTGTAGTATATATGTATTTCAGGGGCTTAAATTCATTATAAAGTATTTCAAAATTCCAATGTTATTTCCTTAAAAATGTATTGCAAGTACTTAAGTCTTACTCCATAAATAAACTCTTTGAAAATTAAATGAATTTTCATATATTATTTTTTTGAATTTCAAACTTGTATAATATTTTATTTTAGCTAGAATTTGGAGACTAAGATTAGCGAGAGTATGATTAAGATGGAATATGATTATCACATTTTTCTAATGCGTTTGATGTAAAAAAAAAAAAAAATGACACTATATGGTCATTGATAGCGCTACCTTTTAGAGACCATTTTTAAGATATAGTAGTTAGTAACTAGTATCTTTTGATGTCCAAGAGTCATTTCCTTATCGTGGACCACTTTCAAATAGAACACGGAATCCCATTCAAATGGAAATACTTTGCTATAAACCCTCAAGTCCACATCCAAGAACTACAAATAATAATAAAAAAAAAAGTAGACGAAAAACCCAATCTTCTCGTAGAAGAAAGGATGAGAAAAATGAGGAGTACTATTGGGACGATAAGTATTCCACAATAATGTATTTTTTTCATTTTTAATTTTTATTGGATTAGGAGTATAATTGTAAATTTGTTGTTGTGTATCTATTAAAAATATATTTTGATTATGGTGTGATTATAATGTGGCGTAGTAAATAAATTTTGTGGTGATAATATAATTACCCTTTTGATTAATAAGTAAATTTTTACTTATGAATGCACTTATAAGCGAACTTTTGACTTTTTAGTAATTTTTTACTTTGTGAACTTTTGCTCTGTTTGAATCTCCTTAAAATTATTAGTGAAATTACAATTGTATATAAAACTTTATGTTGCGTTTTTTTATTTTCTCAAGTATACAATATCGTAACAAGTAATATAATGGATCTTTGAGTCTAAATTATTGTTCCCACAAGAACTATACTTTAGGTATTAATTAGATTTTTCTAACTCTTATTTGACAAAAAAACAAGTAAATAATTATGATAATTTTGACTAACTACTTTTAACAAAACAGATGTGCGATGAATATTAGGGCATACCAATTTCATCTATTGATTACCTTTATTCTTAATTCAAGATTCACAATCTAATGTAGTGTTTGATCGAATTCTTCTATTGTATTCAATTTACCCCCCTCAAGTTCTCATTGAGCCGATTTAACTAATACAATTCTATATCTCTATGCGAATTAATTTTAGTTAAACGAAACACTAGATCTAAGAATTCAAATTATGACCGCAATAATTAATATAGATATCTCTACACGTTATACTAATTTACCGAATTTTATTATATGGTCTAAATCTCAAATTTACCTCTCGATTCGTAAGAGATTCACTTAATCATCAAATTATTGATCATATAATTTAATGCATTAAATTCATAATAAAATCAACACATAGATAAATAAACCACATAAATCTTGAATATAAAAATAAAGGATCACAAGTCGACTAAATTGTTTTCCCTAATATAAAAATTAGTTATTCATACTGGAAGAATAAAAACAAGAAAAAGTGGAAAGAAATCACCAAAAATTGCCCAAACGTGAAAACTTCTAGTGTTTGTAGTTTACTTTACTTTTTTTTCTTTTTCTTTTTCCTTTTCTCTCTTCTTTGTTTTCTCTGCACGTTTTCTTTTTCCTTCCTTCTTTGACTTTTCTTCTCCCTTTCTTTCTCTTTCTCTCGCTTTCTTCTTTCTTTTCTCTTTTTTTCTTCTCTCTCTCTTTTTTTTCCTAGTTTCTGCCGTGTCCCTTTTTTCCTCCCCGTTTTCTTTTTCTCTTCAGCCTATATATAATTTTCTTGGTCAATAATCAATACTAGTGGAATTAGACTTCCAAGTGCAATTGAAGTTTTATTCCAATTCCCAGCAGCAAATCACTTCTCATATAATTAAAATTGCCAGATATAATAGAAGTCCTATTCCAATTACAAGTCCATTAATTTTATTTTTCTCCAAGCCATCTCATTTTTAGAATTAATGCAATTTAGTCCTTCAATTTTTATGGTGTAGACTTTAATCTCCAAAATTGTAGATTTCATTCAATTTCCGCATTCTTTTCTCACATTCTTCGTTAAACATAAAGTTTTACCTACAAAATAAAATTTAACATAAATTAGGTAGAATTTAATCCAAAAGACAATAAAATATCATGATCTAGGGGCACAAATAAGTGTACAAAATACACAAATCACTTTACAACTAAATTCAGAATCAAACGTGTTACCAATTACACTTAGGTGTGTGTATCTTAGTCTCTTTGAGGAGATTCAATCCCTTTGCGGTGTTGGAAGTCTTGAATCCTTAGTGCAACAACTATTCTCTTGACTTCTCACCTACGATACAATTGTCCAACTAAAACGTTGTCAAGTTCAATTTGCTTGCACTAGAAGATGAACTTAAAGCTCCACTAAAAGAACCCCTTTCTTTTGGTCAATGTATAACAACTACAGTAGAAAGAAAATATGAAGTTGTAGGTGTACATATAGTAGTAGAATATGGGCGATACATATAGATGCTGAGATTTAATAAGAAATTAAGTCTCATAATTCAAACTCTCATGACTTTAACTCATGAGCTCCCATAATAATATTTTACATTCATCACAATAATAATGACCATGAATATTATAGCAAGTAATAACTCGCTACCTCAATAGGATCAAGTAACTCCATTATTTCACATTACAAGAATTATTAATCTAAAATGTAAAACAAATATTAATAACAAGAAAAGTCAGCCCCAAACTATTTTGTCTTTTAGCTGAAATTGCATTAAAATAACAAAGAAATCTCCACCACTCAAGTATCCTCATCTTATATCCAAAGAAAAGTGTATTTTGAACTATTTTATAAGATTGTTAAATATGAAATGTGATTCTTATAGTGTAGTAGTTATATATTCTTCCCATCTATCACTACCCCTAGTTTCTCACTAAATGTGGGGTTGACATAACTTTTGAGAAGTAAAAACGAATTTTTGAGACTCAAAAGTTGCTTTTGAATTCATTTAACTAATTTTATGAAAGTATTTCTTCTCATTAGAAGAACTTTTAGAGAAAATTGTGGAATAAAAAACCTTTTTAGAAGTTAGTTTTTAAATAAAAATCAAGATAATTTCCTCATAAAACTCTCCTGCACGAAGTAAAAAGGAAAATTGTTCCAAACAAATCTTTATCCGATTGTGTTAATAACTTATTTAGCACAAGATTCATAAAATGTGTTTGGTATGTAAAAAATTTATAAATTGTCTATACAACTCGTAGAATACAACATGTTGAACGCAGGTTTGGAATTAGTAGAGGAAAAAAATAAATAAAAAAAATAAAAATCTACTCTTGGCTTGGGGCTTTCCCTTGATTGAATTGACGACCACGCGTATTTATTTATCATGAGTGGCAGGTTTGACCCGCTAACTAGTCTGGTTTGATTAGAATAGATTCTATCTTATCCACACAATATCGTGTGTGGATGTGTCTTGACCTTTAAGGACTTTTCTTTATCCATTTGATTTAAGGTAATGAGGCATAATTCATCTACCTTGGCTGGGTTTCTCTGACTGTAGCGATTGTATGCATGATTATGTAGAGTAACAACAGTTAAAGAAATTTCCAATTGATTTTGTTCTCCAGAAGTGTGCAGTTTCGAAATAGAGTCACAGCGGAAGGGCAGCAAATTTGATCCCTTTTGGAGACAGGCTCACTAAAGTCAATTGAACAAAATGATCAACTCTAATGCACCAATGCCATGGATAGGTCTATACGCTGCTGTAGCATCTCTAATATGGACTCTTGCACTTTTGGCTGATGCAGCGATCTCCATCCGCTATAGAAAATTATGGTTCCCCTGCAAATATTCTGCTCTCAATGCTGCTTCCTTGACTGTGTTAGCCATTGCAGTGAAGTTGTCAATGGATCTAACTACCCCGATGAAAGGCAGGCCCGATCAAGCCGCTAAAAGTAGTAGCACTGCTTTCTTGTGTGTTTCAACCACTCATTTCATGCCTTCTCTGGGATCCATGAGGGATAGAGAAATATTAGTGAACTTGACAGCATTGGGTATCCTTATAGTGACGCTTACCGTAAATGTTTTCATCCAAGAATTCACAGGCATGATTGAAGATGATTTCCAAGTGGTGATTGTCTTTATGAATGTTTATGCGTTCATTGTATTGAGTTCTTCTGCTTTATCGGTATTTACAAGTAAAAGGTATTTGGAACATAAGTACAACGAATTGAGTACAAGAATTTCGGCAGAGGAACTATATGGAGATGAATTAATGGACTTTGACAAGTTAAAGTCACGCGTGAAGAAGTATTGGGTGATGGCAGAAACAGGTAACCCTCAGTTTGTGATGGCACGATCTGAGGCCAGTGGTGTTTTATTCATGATCTGCGTCATTAGCAATACTTTTTATGGATCAGTATTGCTAACAAACAATGAGCCAGAAATTGCTTCCGATTATAAATGGTCAGTACTTTTTGTTTATTGGACTCAATATGTAGGCATGGTTCTTTGCACTGTCATGTCTTTGGGAAGACTTTTGGTAGCTTTAATTCACACTGTACGGAATATTAGAAAATGTACCATCACTAGCATTTCCTTAGAAATAAGGAATTACAGGATCAAAAGATTGGTAGAGTGGAAAAAGAAACTCCCACCGTTACATATTCGAGGCCAGAAGCTTAGAAAAATTATTTATCACATTAGAAATCTACTTATCAACATTTGTATAGGAAGTCAGATAGTGATTGTGATCGCGAATAAATTGCTCGTGCCAATCTCAATTGCTGGATTTCTCTTCTTATTGCTCACCAGTCCATTGCTCAATTTCTTACAATTTATAATCTCATTGATCCTACTCTGTTTAGTTATCTTAAGGACGCGAATCATTAGATGCTTGGTGATGTTAAATAAATTTTTCTCAAGGCAATCTGAGGCCTCGGTCAATCCCAATGAAGCGGAACACATGCTTGGTTATGAGCAAGATCTTAGAAATTTTGTTTTACTTCTAGAAAGTGAGGCAATACAAGATGGATACCTGATGTTCATTAACACATCTATTAATTCATCCATAAAGATGGGTGCAAAGCATCAGCCTAGATATCTAATGGAACTTATGGAGAATTCCACCAGCTTCGAGGGTGTATTAAAATTTGAAAGTGATCGAGTCTCTCCGATTATTTGCACAGAACCTCTTAATTGCTGGAGTCTATCCGTGGCAACACTAACAAGCATCATGATTGCTCTTCCCAACGTACAAAATGAGAAGAGGAATCAGTTGTTAAAAAGCGTCATTGAAGGTTTTAAGTATGTGCGCCTTATAGAGAAAAATCTGGATGTTCATAAAAAATTGGTGAGCAGCACGACTGCTGCAGAGTTTGCATGGGTTGTAGTTGAATTGAGACACAAGTGGTTAGACATGGACCTCCAAAAAATTGCGAGCGTATCAAAATCCTCCAAAGAAACTCTTCAGAATCTGGCAAATAAAAGCGAAGAAATTTTGAAGGAATTCACGAGTAGAATGAATGGAAATGCTACGGAAAGCTCAGTTAACTTGCCTGGAAATGTCATAATTGCTAATTCAATGTACAAAATAAGCAACAGTTTGCTGTTGGTCTATGAGGAAAGCTATCATTCAGCATCAGATACTCGAGTGTTTAAAAGATTGTCTGTTATCCTTGCAGATATATTAGCAGCATGCCTGACAAATTTACCTCATTTTATACTCAAGAAATGCCACAATAGCGCCATAGAAGAACGGGAGAAAAGTATACGGGAAGCAACTCACCTTTTGGGAGAAACTCAAGGCATTCTGAAAGCTCTTCTGAAGCGTGAAATTCCTAATCTATCACCCGAACATTCAATTTACATTGACGAATGGCGTACTTTACTCAAACACACTAACCATGGTATTTCGGACTCAACTCCTAGCAGTGAGAGTATTGTTACGGCTTCAAGTGGTGAGTTGCATTTGGATATACAAGAACTCCGTGCAAGTGCTACAGCAGGTATAAATTTACCCTTGTTCTCTAGTTCCATTCAGATTTTGCCTCAAAATTTATTATTATTCGTGTTCGATGACATCAGTTTTTATTTAAGCTTTTATTGAATTTACATTTCACCAAGTAAAAATTAATAAAGCAAGTTCTTTTGTATATCATTATAAATTAAAAAAAAATAAAATTGCATGAACACAATGTCAGTATTACCTAATTTATATTTTTAATTGAATTTTGGAGGAAATTCTTTTGAACGTAAATAGTACTCTCTTCGTCCCAAAAAGATAGGCTTGTTTATATTTTCAAATAGATTAAAAAATATATAATTATTATAGTTGGAAATATATTTTTTCTTACATTTTTTTTTAATATACTCCTACATTAAATATTGATTTAAATAAGAGTATTCATATTTGTTGATAACAAGCCACATTAAAGAGGGACATATTAGAAAACTAAGAAATCAATTATACTATCAAGGAAAGTAGCTTATAATTTGGGATAGACGAAAAAGGAAAGTAAACCTATTTTTATGAAATGGAGGGAGTAACAAAAAAATGAACTATGCTTAATTTGGTGTTTTCAGGAGTCTTGGAAATTGATGAAGGCAATGCGAAGTCTCATGTGAGCGGGAAAGTGGAAGAGTCAGGAGACAAAAAAGAGAACAACCAAGCATAAAACCTGCCCTAACATTTCCACTTTTCAGAAGTTATTCTTTCATGAGCAACTTTTTTGTTTGTTTATTGGAGTTTGCCGCACAACTGTTGTGATTTGTGAGTCATTCCGTAACATTGTGTTATCATGAAAACCTAGGGGCACCTAATGTTGGCATTTTATTAGACTTTATTATGACTTTTTGAAGATTAAAAGTGTCATTTAATATTGTTGTGCTGTTATAATTTGTTGATCAATACAATACATTATTTACTTATTGTTGGGTTGTGATGCCAAACAAGTCTTGCGACAGTGATGACCCATGATTGATCTTGAGGCTTAGGCCTAAATTGGAGACAAACCAAGTGGTCCAGCCCTCACAAGATCAGTCCAAGCTCGGACCCCACCCATTTAAAAGTGCTACTTTAAAAAAACATTTTACTTGGATTGCCACTCAGCAGCAACTTTAGTGTATTTAGAGCAATCTAGATCATTAGATTAGAAGCATGGTCAACAATTTTAAGGTCAATCTGTTGCCCTAGTGTTTGAGAGGAAACCGTGTTTCTCTATTTTTGAAAGTTACCAAACTTTATGTGCTAAAGATTTGGGTCCTGCATTAGGGTTAACCGTGTGAGATACATGGCCCAAAATCTGAGCCCTAAAATTGTGTAAATGCTGGTGCTGATTATACTTTTAAATGTTATAATGATACGTAGAGTTGTTATGTACTTTATTCTTTACTTCACATGAGATTTTTATATTAGTGGCATCAAAACTTTAGGTAAAACACTTTGGGAAGATGAGCCATCGGTTTATTGTAAAGGATCTCGCATAATTCTTGGGGGTCTAAAAGATTTTGAAGATTTGGTGTTGGATCGGTGAAGTTTTTAGTGTTCTTTTGTGTGGACTTGAATACGCATGTTAAATCTAGGCTATATCTAACACTTCTGTGGGGAACCTACTCTAACACAATTTGTAACATTCCAAAATTATTTGAGGTATTTTTTATGGTGCTTGACTTGTAATTTGAATTATTTTAAGATTTGTTATGCATGATTAATTTAGTTAGGACTAGGTTCTTTGTTTTGGAAAATTGTTCTGTTTTAGCATTGTTTTGAGTGGGGCTTGGTTCTTTGTTTTGGAAGATCAAAGTAGATCGATGTTCTCCTTCGTGAGTATATCGAAATCATATATTTACTCGTTAAAATGATGATTGGTTGTATAAGAAATTGAAGTTCAAAGTACAGTGGGTGGAGGAAAAACAATGTAACTTGTTTAGGAGAGGATGAGGCAATGATTAATTTATGGATTTTGCTACTCTTACAGCCTTGCTTCACATTCCAGTTCACAGGTTTTCAAATTTGTAGACGTGGCAGTGCATAGTGTTACGGAATGACTCAACGTCTAACTTCGATATAATATTCAAAAATAAGAAAATCCTAAATATATTTTTTGGAACGTCTAACTTCGACGAGTGTTAACTTTTGTTACGGTTGGCCGTTTCGCACGCGGTTAGAAATACAATAAAGTAGGCTGTGAGTACTTCGAAATGGTGTTAAAAATGCTAGATTTCGATTTCGTTTGA